AAGCACCCAGTGGTACAGCAGAAGGAGCTGACAGTTTCAATCCGTTCGCTAGTCAAGGCAAAACCGCAACTGTACCAACACATCAGGTAAATACAGAGTCGTTACTGTGACCTAAGCGCAATTTCCACAAAAAATAAAAAAGGAAGGTGATTCCGCAAAACATCCCGTTTTCTAAAAAATTTCGTAGTCGTGGCCTAGTTTCTTTACAGCCTCCATTGATCGCATGGCTTATATTTGTGCGCAAGACCCCTTCCTTTTCAGTACTCCTCCTTTTTTGATGCTGTGCTCAGAACTGTTGAAGAGGCTGCTGTGAATTATTGACGGTTACCGAGTGCTGTCATGTTGAGCCGGTTTCACATTAGTCATTGCTTCAAAGACATTGCTGGGAGCAAAGGTGACCACAGCATCGCTGAATTTGCCCTTTGGAAAGTGTCAGAAGTTTGAGATAATTGCTAGTGACCTGACTCTGACTTAACTCACCAGGTTTTGCATTTTGCTTAATTGCTTTTATAGGGGGTTTTTATCAAATAATTAGCTGTAAGTTTCACAATATAATATGACCCCCATCTGAACAAGGTAGGGACGATAGGTCGGTGATTAATATTAGGGCACTAATAACGTTGGTGGTGGCCACACCTGTGAGCGCTTGTTAACATACCGAACCTATAAACTGTATACGTGTAAGTACCGGACAACCTCGTCAACCCGCTGTAAGCCACGTTATCACCTGTCTAGCACCCTGTAAACTCCTGTCAAACTTGTCAAAGTGAGTGGTCAAGATTCAAAAGAAAATGGAGAAGTCGTTCATATGACGCTAGTGCCATTTCTTCAAACTTTTTGACGGTCTCTTTAATTCACCATGCTTCACTAATGAATAAAAGTTTATAGTATCACATCTGCTATTTAGAGTTTGGTATGTTTCCGGGGGATACCATTTAGCAAAAGAAGTCTAGCAAAAACTTGTTCGTATGGTGTGCCGTGAAAAGTCTTCGAACCTTTCTTGAAACTGGCTGGCCGAAGCATGTAAGGGTTTATCAGTGTTGGAGATATTGCTGTGGTCGCGCTGTAGTCGTTGATGAATATTGTAGTCGGAGGGTCATATTTGGGTTTTTGTAAGAGGTCGGCATTCGTGAGAACTGATGCGGTGATTTTGAGGTAGAATGGTGGTCAGCAGGGTAGCGAGAACGCTTAGGATCGAAGCATTCTCCCCATATAAGTATCCTAAAGCATAATTCCAAATAGTAGATCAGCATTACATGTGCATAACGTTAGGCAAAGGATCTGCAGAACCATTTTAATTTTTGCGTGCTCTACACCTTTTCACGCTTTTATCGTACTGTTTGATTACGGTGCGCTAAAAATAATACAGTCATGATTCCTAAGAACGATAGGGCGTATGACAGTGGTATGGCCTGAAGCGCAGCCAGGGCAGATTTCCCACCAATTTTAGCGGGCTCAGGATGGCATCATTGGGGGGAAAGTCACTCTGGCGGCGCTGCAATCCGCGCAGCGTCACACGCCCTATCGTTTGTAGGGATCATGATAGGGATCATGACTGTGTAAATTTGTCTGTGAGGATAAATGGACGCCTATCTTCTTGGGGGAGGGAAATGCTGCTGAAACGTATGAATACCGGACAGCTTTGTTATCACCTGTCATGTACTGTG